ACTGGAGAATGTCTTACTGGTGTTGTAGTCAAAACCACACTAACGAGACCAAGACATACCCGAGACATTTAGGGATTGAGACCGAGACAAGTCCAAGACCATATATCTCAAAATCATCATCCAGTGTGCAAGGGGGCGTGTCACTCACATAGATCAAAACACTGGGAAGGTTGTGGCCGTAACCGGGGGATACAAATCTAATTATGAATGAATGAATTTTAGAAAGAGGCGTCTTCCTTCTAACCACAGGAATGACTTGGAATAATATCACATCAGAAGTGGTCTTGACCGGTCTTCATTTAAAATCCAGAGTCCGCCCAGTCTGAGACCGAGACAAGACCGAGTGAAAATGCAAGACGAGGCCCGAGACCTTCAAAAAGTAGTCTCAAGACCAATTTCGAGTTCTACAATACTATGTCTTACTCCAGGTCGCCGTTCTTTCTCTGCTGACTCTTTTTCTGAGTTTGATCATGAAAACAAATCAGAGAGTTTGTCAAACAGATGATTACTTACGCCCAATAAAAACCCTCCTCTAAATCAGGAGTCAGGTATACTGCCAGCATTACAATGATACTACACAATGACACCACGGCTACTAACATTGGTGAATGACACAGCTCCAGATGTACCAATGGCTGTCAACAGGGCCAATATTGTGATTTTGTACGACTGCTACCTTGGCCAGGTCTCCTTTGCTAAATAGATTTTTAACCTCGATTGGTCTTGCTGGTCAAATAAAAGTCAAACTAAAATGATATACACACAGTATTTGATTCAACAAATGTTAAAGAAGGGCTTTTCAAATGTTGTAAAATCTCAACTTCCCTTTCTGCTCTCTGTGAAATATCAAGCCTAGATCCAGAAGCTCTTAAAACACGGGTACAGATCCCAGACCATTTTTTCAGGAGTGGTTGCGGTCATGGGAGGCGACCTGTAAAGTGATGCGTCTATTCTTAGAAGCCTAATGCACACGCTCCCCTGGGCTGCCCTCCCCTTAAATTATTTTAGCAGTGGATCTTGTAAGTGGACTGCTCTGGGTAAAGGTTTAAATATTGATTCACTGTGTTGTAAATTTAACCGGGGAACAGAAGGCAGGCAGCTCTTCTCTCAGCTCGACTCCTCGAGACCTCGTTCTTCCAAATCCTCTGATCCCTTAAAAGACGTAAATTGATTTCCTAAAAAATGGTTTTCATGAAGATCAACGGGAATCGGTTTCCTCTTTCCTGCAGTATTTTCATTCAGGGGTTGCTTCACTAAATAAAGGAAACATAATAAGGTAATATGATGCTTCTGGTGCATCCATGTTGCCAAACAACAGAAATTATTCTCTTTAAGGCTTTCAACCGATCAAAAACCTAATCTGTGTTTCTAGTTAAATCCATTAAGAGCGTCCGCAGGCACGTTACTTTCACTACAATCACTTCCTTTCTGCTGTAAATATCTCCTTTTATGGACAATGTTTGACTGGAATGCCGTTGTAAAAGGTTTCATTGGCACTTTGAAAAGCAACAATGTCAATCTTGGCTTGCAATGAAGCTGTTTTTCTAAATTGCAAGAAGAGAAGAAAACAGCGCTCGCAGGGCAGATAGTTCAGGACGTACACTTGTGCTTTTGAAACAATACAATGTGTTAATGCTTCTGCTTTGGGGGCCTTAAACAAAAACACACAGTGTGTTCATGTACGTATAGCAACAGCAGCTTTAAGTGTGTGTGTGTGTGTGTGTGTGTGTGTGTGTGTGTGTGTGTGTGTGTGTGTGGTTTGGCAGCAGCGGTGTGTGTTCTTTAATAACCTCTCCTCTATACCTTCCCTAGAACCAGCTTTGTGGTCTAACAGGCACAGAGCAGTCTGTGTGTGATGCTGTTGTGTGTGCCAGTGTATATGGGCAGATGGTGTGTGATTAGCGGTCACAAACACTGCCCTTCATCATCATAAAATGGATTTAATAGGTGCTATAAGATGTAGGTTTGGCTTGTTTCTTGTATCTAGACTTAAGTACATTGTTTGCTAGCAGTGAGTCATTTCTTATGTAAGATAAAACAGCCACAGACTAATAAAACAGAAGTATTATGTAGGGTACGGCGATATATCAAGTTTTAAAGATAAATGGATTTATTTTCAAACAAGATATATACAGGGGCGTGTCCGGACTTCTTTGACTGGGGTGGCCGTTGCCCAACTGGGGCACTGACTCATGCAGGGGCCGCCTGAAGTGTGATGTGTGCACAAACACACACAAATATGTAAAAATGAATGTTCAAATTCCTGCACAGTCTAACTGGCAATGTCGTTGTCCCAACATATTGCCATTTAGCTCAATGCAATTAAGATGGAGTGTCTGGGGGCGGCAGTAGCTCAGTCTGTACGGACTTGGTTCAAGTCCTGATGCGAAACCAAATCTGGAAATTGGTCTTGTACCTGGAGAGGTGCCCTTCACTTCCTGAGCACTGCCGAGGTGCCCTTGAGCAAGGCACCGAACGTTTACAGTACAGAAGAAGAAAATATGCTTCATTAATTCACCTAATAGTTGGTTTTAAGACAAGTCCCGTCTCTGACAGGGCCGATAGCCAATCACAGTTTAGGATTTTATGTCTGGGTTGGCCAATCAGCTTTCTAGGGGGGCCCATGCAACCCCTGGCCACCCCTCTGGATACGCCCCTGGATATAGAGTAAAATAATACAGTTTATATCAATATAGTTTACGTTTAAATAATGTTTTTCTACCCTGACTGTCTGACCCTCACCACCTGTCTCAGACTCTCTCTCTCTGAATTTATTTTTTTAAGGAGCTTGTCATTTTTCATGTACATGTGGATATTGTGCAGCTGGCTGTCACTTACAATCCGTGTGTGACATTTGACATTTGGCTGATGCTGATTTGACTTCAAACTCACTTTGTTTTTTGTTATTTCTTTACGGGAAAAATATTTAGATATCCTTATCACCCAATCATGTGGTTACAGAGAGAGAATGAGGGGGGGGACAAACGGAAGGAAGAGAATGAAGGTATGATAAGCATGGAGACGGCAGAGGGGCAGATCTAGATGGATGACCCATTGGGTGACATCATGTATGTGGCATGTAGACCGGCTGTCATCAGTCCTCCTGTCACCCCGAGACTCCGACTACAGCATGGAGATTCTTTCACTTCGTCGTGCATATCAATATGACAGTATACATTCAGACACATGCTCCCACTCTGCTCTACATTTCTCTCCTCTTAGAGGTCCAAAGTTTAACAACTCGCTCATCGAAAACCAGATGCAAGTTCTGTTAAAAATGTACACATTTAAAAAGTATCGATCATCAGGACATCTTGAGCCTCAGTCACATAAAACATCGCTTTGAGGCAATTAGTAACAAAGAAGTCATACATAAACAATTAGAAATCCTCAAATTCAAAAGAATTTTTTTTAGGAAATTAGATAGTAAGAGCTTGTATAGCACTTTTCTAGTCTTCTGACTACTCAAAGCGCTTTTACACCGCAGGTCACACCTACACATTCACACACTGATGGTAGAGGCTGCTGTGGAAAGTGTCCATCAGTATTAACTCATCCATTCACACACATTAATACAGCACCGACATGCAGCAAGAGCAACTTGGCTTAAGTGTCTTGCTCAAGGACACATCAGACATGTGGTTGAAGGAGCCGGGGATCGAACCCCCGACCGACTCTACCAACTGATCCACAGCCGCACCCAAACCATTTTACTGTCATCGTGATGCTGCAGTAAGGTCAGAGGAGGCTGTTTATCCTGACCTTCTCTGGGAGTAGGAAAACCTTTACTACCAACATCAACATTTATATCCATTTATCAACACCTTGTATGAATGCATGACTTCTTCAGAATGCATTTTTATACAAAGCAGAAAGTTTCTCTCAAAAAACTCTCTCAGATGTGACAGCGTCCACATGTCAAAGTTTATAATTGTGTACCGAGTATAATTCGAGCTTGTCACTTTTTATCTCCTCGCCTTTCTTTTCCTATTTTGTCTTCTGTCTGTCATTTGTTTTCCTCTCAGTTACCCAGATAGCGTCCCCAACGATTTCTAGTCCATGCACACACTTTCAGGCACTGACAACACACACACACACACACACACACACACACACACACACACACACACACACACACACACACACACACACACACACTCGCACAACTGTGGTAAAAATACACACATGGCTTCAGTTAGTGGGAAAAGTATCACATCCAAAGTAATAACACAAACATGGCAACCCAAAGCGGCCCCTAGGGGGATTGGCACAGAACCTGGCAAGCCATCCATCATCAGTCTCATGTTGCTATGAGCCTGTGCGCTGCCAATGTCAGTGCGTGTGAATATACTGTGTGTGCCTGTGTGTGTGTGTGTGAAGTTGTGCACGCCCCTGAAGCTGCTGCGTCCCCGCAGAATGAAACAGAAGCTGAAGGAAAACTTTGGAAAGGATAATCTCGTGTCAGGATCAGACTCGGGTTTAAACGATGAGGGAGTTTGTGTTTGTCTGACCTCTAATGTGTGAAGGAAGAACAGATTTTAAAAGGGCAACAAAAGGTAAGAATGAACGGCAGAGAAACCAAGGGACCATCAAGTTACTTGTTCACACATGAGGGGCCGGAGCCAAGATTTTGTGCGCCAGAACTTTGATTGCTGCACTTCCACCACAGACAGTTAAGTGGAATGCGCACGGAGAGCGAGAGAAAGAAGGTTTTCCTGTGTGGTCAATACATGACAGATGGCGTATGATTCAGTGAGCACCGGAGCTATCACAAGTGTGGTGGTGGTTGAGTCAAAGAAGACACTATGAACGGGGAGAGGTGGTGAAAAGACCACCAGATAGAGAGGAGGGTGAGGAGAGAGGGAGGCATGGAAACCAGTTGTCATCCTTATCGGCACATCATTTGAGGAATGCCATTCTAATACATGTGAATGGAGATAAACCATGCAGGGTTTTTTTTGTGTGTGCAGGAGAGGACATATCATTTGTTATTGACTCACCCTGGAGATGGTGAGGGGCATGTTGAAGTCCTTCCCCCCCTGCAGCCTGAAGCCCCAGGGGGCGGGTCCTAACAGCGTGGCGTTGTAGGTGCTGCTCATGGTCTCTTCTGATGTTGTAAAAAAAAAAAACACGCTCTCTGTGCTGATTTTACTGACGAGTAAGTGTTGATGCCAAGAGCTGGAAAAATCTGCTGCAGGTCAGATGATGATAATGATGATGTCACTGGGTTTTGATGAAGGGTAAGAATTTCTTGTCAGGACTTCTGTGGCTCCCCTTTTGAGGTGTTGCTGCAAGATCTGGAGGGAAGATGTGGAAGAAAGGCACACACTAGATTTGTTATTGTGAGGTTTCATATAAGACAAAGGAAGTGCCTGGAAAATGTGTGTGTGTGTGTGTGTGTGTGTGTGCGTGTGTGCGTGTGTGTGTGTGTGTGTGTGTGTGTGTGTGTGTGTGTGTGTGTGTGTGTGTGTGTGTGTGTGTGTGTGGATGCGTCAAATGAGGAAACAGAGGGGTCAAGAGGACAATGAAAAGGGAGATTTGAGCCAACAGTGAATACAAAAAAAAACATATATAATGACATTACTCAAAACAAACGGTGTGATTACTGCAACTTTAAAGTAAACATACCAAAAACATATAATTTAATATTATGAGTGAAGAAAATAATGATCATGAATTCGTTATAAATCTGGCTGCACACTTTTTTCGAGGAGAGAAAAATGTAGACACATGCAGAATAAAAAATAAATAAAAGTATTTCTATCTGATTATTATGCAGCATCTTGGTTGCTTGATTGACTTACATAACCAATCAGCATCTCCTCACAAGAGGGCAGTACACAGTCAACACTTAATTGCAGCATTTTTCTCAATATCAGAGCTATAATCATGTGAAAGGAAAGGCTGTACCTCTTTAATGGTTATTCCAGAGAGGGGGAATAATTCCTCCACAAGCAGGTAGACAATGTAATCCCTAGTTTCCCCTGGACTATCCCCTTCCCAGTCAACACACTGTGTGCATGTATGTGTGTGAGAGCGCTGCGGAGGGATGCAATGCTCTTATATACCAGCTAATGACGGAGGGGAGGGGAAAGGTGGGAGGAGGAGGGGAGTGAGGAGGAGGAGAGGAAGTGAGCGAGTGTAGAGGTTAGGGTTGGGAGGAGAGAGGGAGGGAGGAGAAAGAGGTGGGGAATGGCCCATGGGTGGAGTGAGGGGAACACAGGAGAGGAGGAGAAATCAAAGGGGATGATAAGAAGGGGGAGATTAGGGGATGGGAGGAGACATCCCTCAGGGAAGAAAATGAGGAAGGGGGGGGGAGGGTTAGAGGAAAGGGGGGGTGACAGGGGCAGATTAAGGAAAAGAGTGTGGGAGCAGTGCACACAGAGAGAATGACAAGGGGAGGGAGGGGACGGTTTGTCTTTCATCCGGATATTTTGGGAACATGGACTCAGCGGTGTAGGATTTTTGATTTAAGGGGGAACAAGTCCGTAACCAGATCATGACCCGAGAACACTTCCCAAAGGCCTCACAAACGTTACCTTTAACTCGGGATCATCTCAGTTGTTCCTTTTCTTCTTTTTACCTGATTCTAACTCTTCTTCTATGGGTTAAATAATAGGTTAAATAACCGAGCATTTGACTAATCTCTTCCCCCCATTTTCTGTACATTACTGCAGAAATGTAATATACACCATAATTTCTATCCTGCTTATTTATCAGTTCTTTCATTATTAAAGTCTAGACAGCTGGCAAGTCTTCTCCTGCTGCACTTGTGCCTTGGCGTTCCTCCTTCTCTAGGCCAGACAGATCAATATTGACTTTGTATTTAGAGTGATAAAGAAGTGGCTCAATTTTAAACTCATCCCAGTCCTTTCTTGGCCCATACACACACACACACACACACACACACACACACACACACACACACACAGATCAGTACCTCTTGCCAAGTCATAGCTGTGCTCTTTGCAGGAACTTTGATGGAGAAGTTGGATGTGGAGGGAAGAGGAAAGTGGCTGGACAGGGAGCACAAGTTCTTCAGAAAATGACTTACAGAAGCCATTTTCACATTTGCACTCCTTAAAATTAGAAGTTTCAGGCAGACTGCCCTGAAATCTTCCTGAGAAAGTTGTTCGCTCATGCATCTCACAGTGAGGAGACTCTCCCTGTCAGATGGGAGGTGGGGATCTCAGGAAGCAGGACATGACAGATAAAGAACGATGTGGAAATGGTGGACCAGCAACGAAGTCCGATGCTGTAGTGACACTTTTTAGCCCTTATAATGCTACGTGTATCCTTTGCACCAAAAAAGAGAGGAGATAAACATTCTAGCAAACAGAAAACATATTGAAGAAGTTTCATTACGTGCACAGAAATCTCGTAAGTCACGTTCCGCCTGCGGAAGATGTGCTAGTGGGGTGGCAGGAAAAATTCATGGTGTGGAAAGTTTAGACCCTCTGCGTTCACGCATGCAGCTCATTTTTATCAGGAGTTTTTGTGTGTGTGTGTGTGTGTGTGTGTGTGTGTGTGTGTGTGTGTGTGTGTGTGTGTGTGTATTTTGACATGGTCCCCAGTAGTCGCATACAAATTTGTGTGAATTATGCAGACTATATTAAAATTTGGTTCCCATAAACCGTGTCAACTCTATTTCCCCAGAGTCCCCAGTAAGAATGGTGAACACATGACTTCATCAATCCAGAGATTTAAAGACGTGTATGAGCTAACTGGGCAGTGGCCATTACACATGATTTATTTCCTGCCTCTAGAACCTCTAGAAAGGGTGGTCCCCACAAGTGATGATCAAAAACGTGGTCCCCATTCCAAATGGCAACCAGTATGTGTGTGTGTGTGTGTGTGTGTGTGTGTGTGTGTGTGTGTGTGTGTGTGTGTGTGTGTGTGTGCGTGTGTTAATATTATACAAGATTTTAAGAATATGGGCCACTGATTGCCTAGCGGTGAGGTCGCGCCCCAGAGGCTTTAGTCCTCCAAGCGGAAGGCCCCAGTTCAAGTCCGACCTAAGGCCTGCATGTCGTTCCCCACTCTCTCTCTCTCTCTCTCTCCCAATTTCCTCCTCTATCCACTCTCCTATCAAATAAAGACAGAAGGCCCTGAAATAAAAAGGGTTCAACTTTAAAAAAAAAAAAAGATCAGAAGAATAATAAACTCAAAAAACACAATGCTCATCATTATCCTGTTAATAAAGGTTAGACACATTATGTCAAACAGAGAACACACACTTCTTCAACACAGACATGTTGAACAATGGGGGAGCAGGTGCTGGGAGGAGCAGAGGCGGTAAAGTCATTAAACCCGTTTCCGCTCCGGAGCTACGAGGGTCTAGATGGGGGTTAGAGCTATAACTACAATTTAACAACAAATGTAATCACAGAAAGCCCGGCGATGATTCTGAGCTATAGCACAGATGGTTGCTCCCTCGTGTTAGGATTAGGACACATCTTCATGGGAAATGGAATGGGCAATGTGGGAGCCCGCCCCTGGTTAGACTTGTTTGTTTGATGCCATGTCTAAGACTAAATCTGCCTAACCCAGTGAAACCAGGTTAATGCCGGCAGTCCCTGTTGTTAAATTAATTAAAAACACTGCACAACACCGGTGTATCCTGTAACAACAGTTTACAGAACATCCTCTCCTTTCCTGTCTAGCTCGAGACATTATTTTACATTTTACACAGTATGCTTTAGGTCAGGGGTATCGCAGTATAATTAAATTAATTCAAATCAGAATCACAGGGGGAAAAAACGCTAAGTAAAATTAAACAAACAAGAGTATATATAGTAATGACTTACATTCTTGGGTTACTGACACCTAGTGATGGAAGGAGACGATCATGGGGATAACGAAGAGAGGTATGATTACTATATCACAGTTAAAGTACCGGGTCAAATTAAAGCCAAAATACCCCCCACAACAGGCCCTTTCATATTGTGCTGGTGATGTCATTTGGAGCCAAGACTTGAGCAGAAGGGAGCTAGCTGTCAGAGACACAAAATTGACCCCCGACCTCTTTCACTTGAACCAATAAACTTACCTATAAAGCAAGCACAGTGAACAGCATCTAGAAGCAACAAGTTTAGCAGTATTTTGAAAATTAATCCAGAAAATTAATTTAAAATTGTATGTAAACTGTTTCAGCTTAAACTGAATACAAGTTATACAAGTTTTGCATAACTTTCATGTGGATGTTAAGCAGCAGGGCGGACTGAAGGCTGGCACACTCACATGTTTACCCGATTACTATTTGAAATACGCTGTGCTCAGTTTTGACTGTTTTTTTTGACTGAGTCTAGTCGATGAAACAGAGTTTAAATTTACATTTAACTGAGTAGAAAATTAGTCAACCTTATCCTTCGTCCCAGGTTCGATTGCCAATCCTGACGCTTTTTGATGCATGTCAACCCCCCACTCTCTTTTTCCTGTCTATCTTCAGCTGTCCTGTCTAAATAAAGTCGAAAGCCCTAAGAATTTTTAAAAAATCTGTTTCTGTAGTGTTTATCCAGTCTACTGCAGATGATGCTTCAATTCAATTCAAAAAAACGTTATTTGTCCCCAGGGGGCAATTCAAATGCTGTCTCTCAGAAGTCATCCCTACCTCGTCTTCAGCTCGTACAAAATTCAGCAGCCAGAGTCCTCACATGGTCAAACAGAAGAGATCACATCACCCCAGTTCTTGCCTCCTTACACTGGCTACTGGTCAAGCTGAGGATTGATTTTAAAATACTGTTGACTGTGTTTAAGGCATTAAATGGACTTGCCCCAGCTCAAGCACAAAATCCATAGCTCTGTTAGTATTTTGTTACACTGGACTTGATTATTACTTGTACTTTCATTTTGATTGTTGTTGTTCTTGTCTGTTACTTTCTAATGCTTTGTTTTTTTTCTATCTGCGCTGTTCAGCACTTTGGATCAACTGTGTTGTGTGTAAAGTGCTATATAAATAAAGTTGAAAAATAGTTGTAAGACGATCATTGTAAACCTGACAGTGTAAACTGTAAAGTGTTGTTGAAAGAATTTAGATAAGGTTGTCTGCCACAAATGAAACAATTAAAAATAGAAGGCTTAAGAAATCATTAAAAACTGCACTGTGGTAAGGTTAACCCCATGTCGGATTCCCGTGTGATAAGAGTGCTGGTTTTGAGTCCCATGAAGATATAATTTCTAAAATATGGGCCCAGCCGTAGGTCTCACAATACTAGCATACTTTTAAATACGTTTGATGAATTGGTTTTTATTGTCAAGAAATGGCAACAGGCCAAACACTGTAACGGAGAGAACAAAGGAGATTTGGGGTCCACAGGATAATGATATCAAACACTAACAATAGAGAGTGTGCTGCAGCAAGAAACCTCAGACACCCTGCCGGTCTTTTGTTCTGTGAAATGGTCTATTCCAGTCCCCATATGCTCACCTCTCCCCTCGCTTAACGATCACAGCTTAGCAGCCCCCTACTACACGCACACATGAACACCCACATGCACACACCCCAACCAGCTCCACCCCTACACGGTATGATAATCTTGCCCCTCTGATGACATTTAATGCATCATCCATGTGAGTAAAAGGGGAACACCCACTCCTGCTCTACCAGCTGCCCCCCAAACACACACACACACACACACACACACACACACACACACACAGAACCTGGAGGGTCAACATGCATATACAATCTCTCTCGTGTATAATTTGTATGCTTGAGGTCAAGCTTGAAGACAACAGCTGTGGTCTGAATAGCATTAATTCTAAATCAGCTTTTTTTTTAGTCCAATCTCTGCTCTCAATGCTGACAAAGGTTTCATCGTTTAATAAACCTTTCTTGCGTGCTGGGGATACAAAATGTGAACATTATGTAACAAGTATGATGATTATTTTTTTATCAGCAAAGGTGAGAATATGAAGAACCTTTTTGTTGAGATTCTTTTTGTTTTTTCGACAGACAGGACAGTGGATAGACTTTGAAATGGGGGAGAGCAAGAGTTGGGATTGACATGTGAGAGCA